ATCCGGCCCTTCCAACGATAACCCGAAGCAAAAAAGAACCACCTACTGAGGTGGTTCTTTCCGAAGGGCCGCATCAAAGCTGGCCGTGGGATTGCCGGCGCGTTCTTCCGCTGGGGCATCCCCAGCTCCTGGCCAAACTGCGCATGCTCAGACATGTGCAGTTCGGCAGCCTCCCGTGGCTTTCTCCCCGGTCTCCCCGGCATCTGATCGTGCCAAGGAGCAAGTGCACGGCAGCTCACGGAATCTGTATGATCCCGCCACCGCGTGCCTATTTTGGTGCGGCTTTTAAAAGCTGCACTTTGCCCGTCCTTTTTTCCCCTCGTGTGGCAGGGACCATGGAAAGCTGATCTTCCTGTCTTAGACCTTTTCTACATGATGGAAGAACTGATTTTCTTGGGAGGCAACCTACAGGCATTGGAATCGGATTGGGCTGGGCTCTTCTGCCCATCCACCCTCCCAGTGTGTTTTTACAGTGGTGGAGTCAGTTTATTTCCTTCCTCTCATGACTTAAATAATGAGGATTTTGAAGGGAGAGAGCCAGTTTGGTGTCGAGGTTAAGTGTGCGGACTCTAATCTGGGAGAACCAGGTTTGATTCCCCACTCCTCCACTTGCACCTGCTGGATGACCTTGGGCAAGCCGTAGTTCTGGCACAGCTGTTCTTGAAAAAGAGCAGTTTCTGTCAAGAGCTCTCTCAGCCCCACCGACCTCACAGGGTGTCTGTTGTGGGGAGGGGAAGGGAAGGCAGTTTGTAAGAGGAGGAGGAGGAGGAGATTGGATTTATACCCCACCCTTCACTACCCAAAGGAGTCTCAAAGCGGCTTACAAACTCTTGCTTACAAAATAGCCACTCTGAGACACCTTTGGGTAGTGAAGGGTGGGGTATAAATCCAATCTCTTCTTCTGTCACCATTGGTGCAATTATCGGTGGCGTCCCAGCACCCCCCCTTTAAAAAAAGGCCCTAAAATAGAGATATAAAGCTGTAGTGTTGCACACCGCTGGGGGGGGGGAAGCGAGGCTATTTGCTCTGCAGGAATTTGACCCGCATCTGCGCGATCACACAGTCCCTGGGAACTGCGGGGACAGCCCTCCACTGCATGATCAGACACAACTGCGGGTGAGTCGGGTCTTTCTTTTTTTGGCCACGTATTTCTGGTGCACTTCAACGAGGGATAGATTATTCGCACCTCCGCACTGAGTGCTCCCTATGCCGTATGCGATGATGCGCATACTGAAACGGGGAAAAAACCATGCCATGGAGTCAGGATGGCCGATCACACCATCCCGACTCCATGGAAGCACGCTGGCACGATCACACCGAGGAAAGTCCGTTCCTGGCCGGTAGCAAACCTGTTTGCCACTGGGTTTTCCCTGGTGTCTATTTACTCTGCTTCTGCAGTGGAGCAAAACGGGTTGCCGACGGGTGCGGGACACTTGGCAGATGTTGGCGTCTGACCGCGCCCTTAAAATCTGCCTGGCATTGACATCTATGGCGCAGCTAATTCTGCGTGTGATTGCGCCCAATGATAGTTTAAGTAGGTTCTTTGAGTTCTAGGATTGTTGGGTGTACTTACCTAGCTGGTGGGGGTTGGGAGAGAGCTTTTTGGGAGTGGGGATGGTGGGGCGACATCACAGCATGTGATGTCAGCGTGATGACGTCACATGGAAATGATGACATCACTCCAGGCACGTCGTGTGGCGACACTCTAGCATTTTGGTCAAAACTCTAGTTTTGGTTGAAATGCTAGAGCGTCACAACATGACGTATCCGGCATGATGATGTCAGTTCTGCGTGATGTCGTCACACTGGCAATGTCGATGCGGGAGGGAGCTGTTTGAGGTGGAGCTTCCCCTGCCAGCCAGCCAGCCAGATGGCTGGTGGCGCGTTGGAACCCCTGAAATTGGGGGAAACCTAGGGTCGCCAAGTCTCACCTTGTTCCGGAGCGGGGGACTCCTGGGTCGATCCCGGAGTGCGTGTGCACGCGCAAAGCGCGTGCGCCCCGCATCCATGTCACCAGGAAGTGACGTGACGACGCTGGGGGGGGGGCACGACCATCCGAGGGAAAACCATAGAGTTTTCCCTCGGGTTACTGTGGCCCCGCCCCCAGCGTCCCTGGCGTGGTTGCGTCACTTCCTGGTGACGTGCATGTCGGGGTGGAGTTCCCCCCGGGGCCCGATCCAGCGGCAGTGGGGAACGGGCCTCTGGGGTGGGGGTTTCCCCGCCCCCCGGGGGGACTTGGCAAGGCTAGGGAAACCCCACCCCAACTCTATCCTCTTCTCTCATGGAGATATAAGGAAAAGGGCATATCTCTGTGAAGGAAGAGGTGAGAGACTTACTTTTTACACATTTTTTTTACACAGTCATAAAGGCTTATGAACCAATACATGATACGGAGAGAACGAAAAACATCCCCCTCCCCGGTCTCCATACAAATCCTTGAGTCACCCATAATGAACTCGATTGGTAGTAAGTTCAGGAGAGGAAGTGCTAAGTCACATGGTGCATAATCATTTTACGGAATGAACTCCTGTGAGATGTGATGGTCACTGGCCCGGATGACTTGGAAAGGGATTAGACAGATTCGTGGAGGTGGACAGGTCTGTCGGTGGATAACAGCAATGATGGCTAATTAGAACCTCCATGATCGGAGGGAATAGATCTCTGAAGGTCTGTCATTTGGCGGAATCCTGTGGGGAGGCTGTTGCCTTCATTCTCTACTTGTGGGCTTCCTGGACGCATCTAGCTGTGGGAAACAGGATGTTGGACTGGAGGATCCCATGAACACCTGAAGCCGCCTAACACTGAATCAGACCCTTGGTCTATCAGTTTGGTGTAGTGATAAAGTGCGCGGACTCTCATCTGGGAGCACCGGGTTTGATTCCCCACGCCTCCACTTGCACCTGGCTGGATGACCTTGGGCAAGCCGTAGTTCTGATAAGAGCTGTCCTTGAGACCCGTCTCTCTCTCAGAGCTCTCTCAGCCCCGCCTATCTCCCAGGC